TGCATAGTCTGTTGAACAAATAGATTGAGCAGTTCATTATAAAAAAACCACTAACTTGTAATAAATGAATTTGCCATTCTTGAAATATTATTTTAGTCACCTCAGACTAATTGGTGAAGTCAAAACTTGGGTTCCTGGCTCATCTTAATGACTTCGTATGTTTTTTTGGCGCTTTATGGTTCTTGACTAATTCACTTAGAAGCTAAGGAACCAGTTCTTCCTGGCTTCAGAGATATAGACATGGAATGCATAATTTTGAAAAACATAACCATTGTATATTAGTTTGGCTGCCAAAAACAATTTTTTCTTTTCACTGATTGAGAGTATTGACTTTGTAGATGCCAGATCACCTGTTTTACCCAGTGTACCAAGATAAATCCATTAGTGGTGTATCACTTTTAAAGGAATGTGTGGGCAGGTTCTTTCCTCTTAGTCCTCACCACACGGTTAGTAGAACTTCAACTAGATTTGCTTTCAGGGGAGGTAGATTCATAGAATTCAGATTGCTTGGCCATGCAACCAACCTCATATTCAGTGTATAAGCCTCTTCTGCAGCATTACCTAGGTTAGGATCCAGCTTGTGCAGGGCATGGGAAATTCATTGTCTCCTGAAGCAAATAACATTTTGCTTTCAGAAAGTTATAACAAAAGTTGGGTCAACATCTGACTTCCTAGAATACATATTCCTCACAATATAACAGTGAAATGGCCACGTGAATCAGAATGAACTCATTTATTAGATCTGAGAGCTGAGTGAAAGGCTTTGGGCAAGTAACTTGTCTCAATTTCTTTATCTCTGAAGTGGCCATTTCAAGGGTTTGTTGAGAGAATAAATAATATTTCATGCATGAAATGCCAGACATGGTACTTTGCTCCTAAGGTTTCTGCACATGCTTGCCATGTGGAAATGTATTCCTTTGTGTTAATTCCATCCCGACTCATACAGACATTTGAACCTCTTTCCAACTCAACTGTCAAGTCTTTTCTGTTGCCTTTAAGCTTTTCTTTAAATGACATAATTTGGTGAGATTCGTCAATAAAGTAATGCCACTGAGTGTATTTCTTTTAAAGAGAGATGTCTAGAAGAAACACAGTACTTCAGAGGTAGTTTTATCAGCAAAAAATAAATGAGGACCATCATCTATCATTAATGTATGTTTAGAATAAAATAATTTCTGTTTTGGAGGAAGCCACATCATAAATTTGGTCAAAGTAATGTGGAAATATTCCCATGACATGAGGCCTTTTATTTTTGGAATTTTGATTTAATTCCATGTATTTTATTCACAATGAATTATCTCCTTATATACATACATACAGTGGAAGTTACTAAGGTGAGCTGTGCTTTGCATTAAAGAGCCACCAAAATCATTTGTGCTTTTTTGTGCCTGGTTTTTCTCTGTATGCATTTCTATATAATATGTAATATGTGCTTATGGTCAGTATATATTTTATAAATATATGCTTTCACCTTTCATTATCTTTAGTTTGCCTAAAGAAAGGTGATTTGACAATGGAAAATTTAATGACAGCAAAGTTAATACAAACTTTAAGACATGCTGTGGAAGTACCTGTGTCCAACGCTAACGGTTTTGAAGTCCTTTCAGTTGTATTCTCACAGCTCTTCCCAGAGAGTGTGGAGTGCTGGATGGACCGACCATAGCATTTTTCATATAATTTTCATTTTACTAAAGATTAAAAACATTAAATATTTTATATGTAACTAATTTATGTTTATTTTTCCCATTCATGTGATTTTAGAAAGAGTTAGATATGTAAAACGCACAATTACATTTTTACTTGAATCCCTATGCAATTTTAGGTATTGTAGTTTTAATATTCAGTGATCTAGATCATTTTGTTTGATTAAATATTTTGTTTACATTTTTCTCATAATCACTGAATTAGCTTTACCAGGCCTTTTTTCAATGGGACTGCCAAAAATAAATTCTAAAAAAAAAAGTCTGTGCCTTATACTTCTGTGCTTCCCCTATGGACTGGGAATGAGAGGCTTGTAAAACTCATATGTGGGGTCTGCATTGTGTTAATGCTTGAGATTTATTTCCCTCCAAAGGTTCATAAACGGTGTTGACAAACACATTACACACTGTGATTGTGATATGGCCCTAAGGTAGGGTGCAGGTTTTAAAAGATTTTCAGAAATGTTCCCATTTAATTTGTCGGGCATTCTATAGGATGACCCCTAGTAGTGACTGCCATCAGTTTGTTTTTATCGAGCGTTTTCTAAAGATTGATTGTACATGTCTTTTAAAGAACTAAGAAAGCAATTGCAAAATACACTCTGAAGTCTGGTCACTTTTGCTTTGTTTGATAGATTTGTCCTTTAAGGAGCTACCCTGATTTTTCAATCATTAAAATGCACTTTGTATCCCTAAACTGTGTTGTCTCTACATGAGTTTGTTTGAACCCATTGGGGTTCTTTTTGATTTTTCAAAGTAATTTGTTTATTGTTTATGTTGTCTTTCACTACCAGTGATTATCCTGAACTAGTGTTTTAGCTTTTGCTACTATTGCTTCTTACTGCGGGTTAAAAATAATGGATGCCGTTTTTTGGTAATTTCTTTATTTTTGTGTGTGTGAAGAAGTAATTAGCATCAGATTGACTAGACTCAATAAGGATAGATAAAACTAGATCATTTTCTCTATGGAGTTCACCTTTCAGTCAGTAAGATAATTGCGGATAACAAATAATTACGATACGAAGTAATAAAAGCTGTAATAGGACTGTGTACAAAGTGCAGTGGCAGCACAGTTGAGGGAAAACAAGTTTCTTGCTGCATTTCATAACATTGTTTTCAGTGTGCAAACTCCTGAGATAATTGCTGGATATGCCTGTGGGAAAGAAGAGACGTGTGGAAACAGTTGAGTCTCTTAAGAAAGGTTTCAACAAAAATATTCCTATTCTCTAAAATGATGACTTTCTTTCATCAGATAATGACATATCTTTTTAGATGAAGATAATTCTTCCTGCCTAATAACATTTTTGGTACTAAGTACCTTTTTATGAGTACATGTAATCATGGGCAACATCTTGGTGTGACTGGAGCAATGAATTGATTTGTCTGTCATAGAATTTATTGACTGCTCTCTGTGTCCTAGATCTTGTACCACATGATTAACAAAAGGAGAGATGGTCTTTGGTGTCATGAGTTTGTAATTGAGTCGTAAAATCTCTTGGGTAGAAAAGCTCACTGTGATTTTTTTTCTGTTGAAATGTCTCAGAAATATTTATTTAGACGTGTAGTGAGAGGCTGAATTTTGTATAGAGGCATGACCAAAGGAAAAAAGTTATATACCAAGGTTTCTTTCAATCCAAAAGTTTTCCTCCAGATTAATATTCTATGAAGTTTTAGTACATTTGGAATTTAGATATAACCAGATATAGATATATAGATTGATGGCTAAAAAAATGGCATCCATCTCACTTTATGGTCTCGAAAATCAAGCTCAGGATACTAAATGTAAAATGTTGGAAGTCTTATTTCCATGCTAAACCATGACTAAACTGAGTATGGAATTGTCTATTTGATATTTTCTTGGTTGATAATTATTTATGCAGCTTTTACTTATTATTTATGCAGCTGGCTTTCATCCAGGTTGAGTACTGAAATCAGCAGTCCACTGGATTGGGTGTACCCACAGTGTATGGTGGACTGAACTGTGCTGTGTGGTTCTGGTGTTGCTTTCCTTTCTACATTGTTTGTTTAATGGAAGATTATGCCCATAGAAGTACAGAGCCGTCTTTCAAAGATTCGTTTAACCTGCCTCAGTTCTAACACAGGTGAAAGTAGAGCCCAGTAGAGAGAGGCGGGACCCACACTCTCTCCCCCTCCAGCTCCTGCCCCCAGAGCCATGCATGTGTGGGTGTCCTCCCTGCTGGTAAGAGGCAGGAGATGCTCAGGTTTCTCTTTCCAGCAAGTATAAGAACACATGAATTGAAAGGGAAACATTGATTCTTTCAGAGAAAGAGAAGGATTAAAAAAACACCACACGCACTAGCTATAGAGTAAGCAGTAGCGGAAATCTTTGCAGCCTCCTGTTAAGTTTTCTCATACAGTGCATATTCTGTAGAGAACAACAGCAGTAAAACTGTTTTGGTTCTGATTTTCATATTTGGTTACGGAAAATCTTCTTGATTAATAATATGTTCAATAATTAGGTATTTAAATGATATCCTATGTACAAATCTGCCTGAAAATATATTCTCCCCATGTGAGAATGAAATAAATATCTTTTATGACACTTTTCAATTTTATTCAATGTAATAGGCAGGTAAGAAATTGAAACTCACCTTACCACTAGATTGCTTATAAATTAAAGATAAAACAAGATCAGTGTGCTATAATTGGGAGCTACAGTATATTGGTTTCACTGTAGATGGCTGCTTTTTTTTCTTTTGGACAAAAAGTCATACTTCATTTGTATAAATATGGATCAAATATTTTAGGAAGAAACTGAGCTTGGTGGTACATGCTTATAACTCAAGCATTCTTAGGAAGCTGAGGCAGGAGGATTACAGGTTTGAGCCCAACCTAGGCAAATTAGCAATTTAGGAAAAACCCTGCCTCACAAAAAAGGGGAGATGTAGTTCAGCGTGAAGACCCTAGTTTCAATCCTTAATACAGCAAAAAAAGAAAAGAAAGGAAAGATTAGGAGTATCAAAGTTCAGCAACAGTGTCTGTGTTTTACTCCAAATTTTCCTGCTATTTTTTTTTTCATGAAAGAAGTAGGTCATATAGTGTGTGTATGTAGGTATAATATGTTTATTATAATATATATACTATAATATGTGTATTTGGGCACATTTATCTCATGTTAAACCCATATTGTCTCATTAATTTTGAAAAACAAAGGTATAAGTAGTATTTTGATGCATCTGAAGTTTATATTTCTAATTATGTTGTAGATTTTAATATTGTGTTTTCTCTTTTTTTTTTTTTTCCCCCCCTTCCCTCCCTGCTGCCTCTTTCCTCTCGCAGTCCTGGTACCTGGGCTAGCTTGGTTCCTTTCCAAGTGTCAAATAGGACACCCATCCTACCGGCAAATGTCCAAAATTATGGTTTGAACATAATTGGAGAACCTTTCCTTCAAGCAGAAACGAGCAACTGAGGGAAAAAGAAATACAACAATAGTTTAAGAAATTTTTTTTAAAAAAAGGAAAAGAGGAAGACTGGACAAAACAAGGGGAGAAAGGAAAGAAACTGAAGAAAGAAGATGATAGACCAGCAATCGCAGCACTTACAATCACTAATTCCCTTAAGGTTGAAAGTATGATGACACTAAAGGGTCGATGGTATTTCACGAATGGTAGCTCCCAGCCCTGCGCAAAGCCTTTGTTACATGAAGTCCGCTGGGAAATAGATGTTCTGTCTCTATGACAATATATTTTAACTGACTTTCTAGATGCCTTAATATTTGCATGATAAGCTAGTTTTCTTGGGTTAGTATTCTTGTTGTTTACGCATGGAATCACTATTCCTGGTTATCTCACCAACAAAGGCTAGGAGGCGGCATCAGAGGTGCTGGTGACAGAGCCATGAGCCAGCCATTTTCTAAGCACTCTGATTTCTAAAAGTTAAAGAAATATATAAAATCTCTGTAGCCTTTAGTTATCAGTAAAGATTTATTAAATTTTGGCCCTTAACCCAGCCTTTTCCAGTGTGTAACCCAGTTGGAAATCTTAAAAAAAACAAAACAAAAGAAAACAAAACAAAACAAAAACAAAAACAAAAAAAAAACAAAAAAAAAAGAAAAGAAAAGAAAAGAAAAAAAAAGAAAAAAAAAAGAAAAAAAGGGAAAAAAAGCAGTTTGAACAAAAGGCTGTATGGAAGAAATGCCTCTATGTAAGTGAAGTGCTATCTCTGCATGCAACAGTAAAAATTAATATAATATTTTCCCCACAAAAGAGACACTTAACAGAGGCAAGTGCAATTTATAAATTTATATCTAAAGGGGAATCATGATTATAAGTCCTTCAGCCCTTGGACTCTAAATTGAGGGGATTAAAAAGAATTTAAAATAATTTTGAACAAATTTATTTTCCCCTCAGTTTTTGAGGGCATTTAAAAAGGCATTAAATCAAGACAAATCATGTGCTTGAGGAAAAACAATTAATGAAAACACAGCACTTATGTTGGTTTAGCTGCAGCCTCCTTGGAGGTAGAATTTATTTATTTAAAATTACTGGTTGCATCAAGAACCCATAGGGTATACAAAAGGCTCTATAAAATCTGCATTATAGAGACAAAAGAGGCAGGCAAATCCATGTCACGAGGGTAAAGCTTACAGTTTACAAACTGGGAACGCCAGGGTGTAGGATATTAAAAAAAGAAAAAAAATGCACTCTTGAGAAAACAAATGTAATCAGGGTGCTGAAAACTTGCATGGTGCTTTCAGACATTAGCCTTGTTCAACAAATTTCTTATATTGACAGATTCGTAGTGTGCATGGGCAGACACATTTTGCCTCTATGTCTCTTAAAATTTTAATTAAAAATACTCTTTCCAGTAATCCTAATTTGCACGAAGATATAATGTCCACATTACGTGCCTTGCCTTGAAATCTAAAAAACTAAAACAAAAAAACCACAAAAAAACAAAAAGTGACATCACTACACTTGTTTTGCTGCATTTATTATCATTTTAAATCTTTACCATTTTTATGACAAAATATTTTGTACTCCAGACGAAGAAAAATGTGTGACATCATGGATTTTTTAGACAGTTATACCTTTATCTCACATTTATAAAGCATATCATGGCTGTGTATAGTTGCCGCTTAAAAATTGTAATCGACCAGCAATATTTTCAGTATTTTGGTGTTTTTTCTATTAACCTTTCATGTTTTTCATCTTCCAATTAATATTGGGGGGAGGGGTTTCAAATTTATACGAATTATGCAATACCAAGTTTTGCCTATGTAGGTAGTGCTTTTAGCTGTATTGGTTATTATAGGTAAGTACACAGATTTTTTTAAAAAAAATAATGTATGCTTTTTGTTTGTTTGTTTGTTTGTTTTAATTGACCAAAGTGGGTACTGCTATTTTTGCAGTGTGATGAGGTCCTTTTGTGTACTGAGAGATGGACAGGGGATTGTTTTTAATATACGTATATATATGCCGGGGTGGGGGGAGGACTTGTAACACTTTACAGTGTGGCTGTGAAGCAGAGAACCTGAGATGGGCACGGGCTGCAAAGCGACTGTTCTGCCTATTGTGACAAACTTCCACTTGCACAGGTCCCCTCTCAACTCTTCCTACCTGGGGTGCAAGCTGAACTCATTTCCGGTTTTCAAAGCGACAAAACAGTAAGAACAAGCAGACACAACAAATTCTCGAGAGGCAGACTTGGCCTCAAAGGAGGCTGTGTCACGGTAGTGGGTGCCGGGACCCTCGGTGGCGGAGACCCCTGTCCGGACTCCCGGAGAGCCGATGTCAGGTGTTTCGCACTGGGGGTTAAGACAGGAGTAGCTTTCTCTGACAGAACACTGACCAACCGGAAGGAGTGCTTCCGTATTCTTTCCCCTCCACTTCCTTGCCCCATTTCTTCATTAATGATAAAAATTATATTAAGGATATGATTTATCTGTGACTTACTGCTTCAAACGGTTAGCAATGCGCTTCAGTTTCTTTCAGAATCCAGAAGAGTGAACGGAAGGTTGCTATTATTGAATGTATTTGGACTGATAGATTAAAATCAAAGTTCAGTTTTTAAGGAACAGAGTAAAGTAAATTTTTTTTAATTTTACTTGCCCTTTTAAACTTAAAATTAGAGCAGAGAGAAATATAGAATTTTAAGAAGTTAATTTTCCTGTGGATGAATTAGACCTATTAGATACCAGTGGGTCCCCCCCCAAGGGATAGTACCTCAAAATGTATATTTGATTTAGTGTCCCCTGAGGGTTAGAGGGTGAATGGAGGCTGGTTTTGTCTTGTCCGTGCTCCTGCACAGTCCCACTTAGTGAATTCCTTCCTAGAGGAAGATATTTCAGAGTTAGACATGGTAGGCGGCGCCCCCCCCCCCCCCAGGAGGGTGAACTCGGTTGCTGGCACAGCGCAGCGTTAACAAGGGACACTTCGGAACAGGGCTCATGGGCTGGGGGGTCTCCATCCCGCGCCAGGGCCCCAGCCGTGGAGGCCCCGACCTCGCCCCGGGACAGTGTTCCCCGCAGGCACACTCGCTCTGTTGGCCAGCGAATCGAGGGGTGCGCTGTGGGTGTCCCTGCCCGCGTCTGGACTAGAAAGGCCTCGTGCAAGTGTTGCTTTATTTTTAAGTCAATTTTTTGCTTGCTTCCCTTTGAATGAAAACACTTAAAAGTACTACTATGAATCTCAAGTCCACTTTTCGGCCTCCTCCTCCTCCTACCAGGAAGTGTATTGGGATGGATGGACGAAGGGCCCCACTTTTGCAGGTCTTGCACGCCCCTCCCTTGCCCGGGCCCCGCGGGTCCGGCCTCGTCCACCCCGGTTGCTTTGCTCCGCGGCCCTCCGCTCTCAGAGCCCCGCAGCGCTCCCCCGGGCGCTCGCCAGGCTGGTTCAAGGAAAACTAGGTAAATACCAGGCAGTGAAGGAGACTGTACATAAAGACGTGGCAAAATCTTGATTATAGCAATATAGTTATCGGGTAACCTTCGGGTGGGCAGCTCCGTTAAAATATGTCAACGTGAAGCTGCAAGTAACAACAAGAGCGGAAGGTCTTCCTAACGGCCGCCTGCCTTGTAGACAGTAATTTGTACACTGTATAGTTTTGTTAAGAATTTTTTTTAAATTAAAATGCCCATGTTTGTAAAGCTAACTTTTTAACAATTATAATGGAACTATATGTTGTTTCCATTTTTAAAGTAAACAAGAATATTCCTTGTTTAGAGACTGGACTTGAGTTAAAACTCTCCAGGCTCTTAAGTTATGTATTAAAAAAAAAAATCTGTCCATGTTAGGAATTATTTCACAGATTCCTGTGCTTGAAAAGCATAGGATACTAATCCTTTAAAAAAGTGTAAATGGAGAAAAGTTATATTTTATGAAGGTTATTTTGTTGTATTTAGTATTGGAAAAGTTGGTTTTCAGAGCATTTCAGAATGTTGGAAGCACCAGTGTCTTTTTATTAGTATGTAAGGCCTTTAGCAAAAGTTTCTGTGATTGTTACGTGATGGTATTTAAGGCTGAGTTTCACAGAGCATTCAGGATAGGCAGAAAGTGAAGTTAGTGCTGTCTCACATGACATGTCCTCAGGGAGCAGGATCTTGGATTTGTGACTTGTAGCTTCGTAAGGACTCAACAAAAGATTGCACAGGAACATCCTCGGCGGTGTGACAGCAGGACATGTTCTCTACTTAGATGCAGATTCCATGGACCGTGTGAAACAATGAAGGCGGCAGAAAGTGACCCCGCACTCAGTGTACAGTATTCACTCTTCACGAAGCAACTCTACAATATTGCTGGCAGATAGGCCCCAAGCATGACATTCAGTGGAGTTTACATGTTCCTGTCAAGGTCTTTTGTTAGCATTAATCAGCTGCATGCTTCCTGGACTTTGAGAAATTGGGTTTCTATAGAGAACTTTTTTTTTTTTTTTTTAAATGTGCAGGCTATTCGAGTTCAATAGTAAAATCTCAAAATTGAATGTTCTACTCCATGCTGAAGGAGCTGGAAGCTGCCTTCTTCATATTTTGCACTTTCTGGTAGTTCCCCTGTTTTTTCTAATTCCTTAAAATTGTGTGGGTGAGTGGAGCCCTGCAGTCGGGGGTAACATGGACCACTGATTTTGCCCTTTGACCCTGCACAATGACCTTTGCATCAGCCAAACTCATTGCCATGACAAGTCTTTGTACTGTGTCCGTGCCACAGATCTGTCGGTCACATTGTAGTAGTACAGGGGACAAGTTGGAGACGGTCAATTTTTACATTTTTTGTTGCAATTTTTTTCTTCAATGGTTGTAAGTAGTTTCATTTTTTTTTTAAATAAAAAGGGTTCACTAGTTAATACTCTTTAGAGATATCTGTGTGTTGCAATTCAAATGTATGTTGAGATTGTGAAAAGGGCTCCAGTGCCACTAGCCTACCAGGACATTAGATTAAAGCCTTTGATAACTCTTACTGCATGATAACTAACGCACCAGT